AATTTTTGCATTTTTTGTTGTTGTTTGCGTTCAACTGCAATTTGCATTTTACTAATTTATTGCAGTAACACATATTATATACCGTTTTTAAAGGACAAAAGGGTCATTAATTTGACGTAACATATACATATATAAATGCTTATTTATTATATTTAAAAAATATAACAAATGCAAAAAAAAATTTTTTTCTTTTTGAAAAAAGTTTTTGCAATAATAATGTGTGCATAATTAGTGCAGGTTAAGGAAAATAATTAAAATAAATTAATTTAGTTGTTCTGATATACAGAATATATAATGTGTCTAGGATTTTAAGGTTTTTTGGTAGTTACAGGTCACAAAACACAAGGAGTAAAATAAACTTTTTATGTGGAGCGATTTTAGAATTTGGTATGTTTGTCTTGTAAGCTTAATAGCCATAAAAGAAAACAAAATGGCCACACAAAAGTATATATTTATATAAAGTTCACATCACAGGGTATTTACCTAAGGTTATTTTGACACTTTTTCACCGTCAATCTCTGCTAAATATTGGAGTAAAATTGTGATTTTTTTTTGTTTTTTTACACTCAAACTTATAACAAAGATCTTCGCATGTGGATTTCGTAAAGTTGGTGTGTGCTATTCCTGTACAAAACTTCGTTTTGTGTTCAGCTACATCTGCTGAGTACAACAATACCCCTATTGTATATCTTTGACACTATTTTGTGAAGCTACAGTGCAATATAGGAGACCTGTCCATTTCAGTATTTACAGTCGAATTTTGAGAGATGGATTTGATGGGCCCATGCTTCAATTTGGGGTATTATAGCAGTTTGACTGTTCAAAAAAAAAAAGAACCCACAAAGGCCTACCATTTGTAAAAGTAGACACTCCAGGGTATCTCATATGGTGCATATTGTGCTTTAACCCCTTAAGGACCAAACTTCTGGAATAAAAGGGAATCATGACATGGCTCATGATTGCAAATTACCTCTCAAAGACCACATCTATTTTTAAATATAGAGAAGAACAAAATGTTGTTTTTTTTAAAAAAACAATGCAAAAAGGTAGGGGAAGAGGGATTATCAGATCCTCATTTACTTTTACCTTAGCGCTGAATATAACTATGATATTTTACTATCTAGACAAATGATACATAGGGAATAGGAAAAGAAGGATGGGGGGATGAATCGGAACTATATATAAGTATTGTCTATAATGACATTAAATAGGGGGTATGAATCTATATAAAATATATAGTATGAAACACAACTTAAAGGGAACTCTCAAAAAAATTCATATCTTACAAAACAATAAAAATAAACAACTAGAACTACTAATTTATATTATCTACAGGTGTATCTGGTCAAAAGATCAAAAATTTGGAATTAATTTGGTTAGTGTTGTGGATATCTAATGAGCTAGACACAATAAAGCAGATATCTAACAATATTGCCATAATAGTTATATACTATCTACACATATTGGAGCCATTTGGTATTGATTTTATGTTTAAACCCTCGCTTTATAGGGATATTTCAGAATTTATGGGTATATAGTTAATATTTATCTTATTAGACTACTTCATATTTCCAGGAAACACAGCGAGTCACAAATGTTTTAGACTTTGTGACAAGCACATTTTGTTATTCTCTATATAAGCCCTGGGGTTAGGCCCCTTGAGATCCCTGGAGTCTTGGTACTTCAGGTAGCTGGCCACGGCTGGAGCAGCATCACACGTGGTTGGTGCTCAGCAGTGACTAGCTATCGTGTATATATTTTTAAATATAAGCAGCTCATCAATTCAAATTATACTATTTGCTGTGAAAGGGGGAATATTTGGAGTAAACCTATCAGGGGGTAGTACCCAGTTATCTGTGTCCTGGCAACGCTGTCACGGATCCCAGAACCAAAACACAGACAGACCACAAAGAGAGAGAACACAGAGAGAGAAGCTTGTAATACCGGTCCTTAGAATGGCCGGGCTATTCAAAGGAGTAAAGAAAAACTGAACAACGATAGGACAAGCTGAGGTAAAGGATCAGAGAAGACAGGATAAATGGGAGACAAAGCCAAGATTCAGTAACCGAACAGATGACTAAAATCACACCCCAAAACCAGTCTACTTATTCACCCTGGGTGTGGTTAATTTTAAAACAGTGGCCAAAACATTGGCTGAGCTGAGAGGGGCAATCAGGGCAGTAATAACTGGTCTCCGCTATTACGCCCCTTTTGTAACACACCTGGCACCTTTTCTGAGGGGATTTCTTTCTGGGGTTTTCTTTCTGACCTGCCTCCATTCTTCTGCTAGGCTCCACTGATGGTCTATAGCACTCAAGCAGCCCAGAAATTAGCTGAAACTGAAATTATAGAAACGTGCATTTCAGCTCAGCATTTGCCTTTTTAAAAATCTTGAAATCCAGTATATTATAACCAGACAGGTCAGCCTGTATGTCAGGATTGGCAGTGAACTCTGGGATGTCTGGTGAAAAATTATTAGGGGGTACCCAGTCATCTGCGCCATGTTCAGCTTTCGGGGAATCAGCGATTTCTCCTGATGGTCCTGCAGTATCTGGCACATAGTCTCTGTCCCCTGCATCACTCTCGGAGGCAATGTCGCAATGTCGCCTCTGAGTCGACCGCTAACAGGGCATAAGCCTCCTCTGCACTATACTTCCTAAGCATTTTGGATTAAGGGAATAAACTTTAACTAAATAACTAAACTTTAATTTTTTTTAAAACATGTTTTTATCAGCTTATCACTAAATTCCCCAATTCCCACTAAATTCCACCCACCTCAACTAACTAAATCCCTTAGGGTTACTAAAAAATCTAATTTAACCCCTGAGAGTAAAAATAAATAAATAGATCACAGTAAAGCACTGTGATCTGTATTTTGATAACTGCTGGCAGTGATCAATCAGCAGGGAAAAATTTTTTTTTTTTTAAAGAACAGGTAAAGGGGATTTGGAATCTCTTTAAACATATTAATTCACTTCAAGGACACAATGCAACAACGATCCATCTCTCTCCATTTCAAAAACCCACAAGAGGTGGAGGGAAGCGGATCTGATATCCCAGCAGCATTGTGACAACCTGGGCTGGGACATCGCGATTTGCTGTTGCCGTCGGCCCCTGACTCACAGGCACCCAGCAACAGCGTTAAACCTGCGATCGCCGGCACTGCGGCGATCTAGGGTTAATTTTCCGCATGACGGACTGGGTCCGGCGTTAAGTGCTTCCCCAGCATGACGGACCCGGTCCGTTATCTGTCATTAAGGGCTTAAAGTCCTATTTTCTTATATGTGTAGATATATATTGCAAAAACCAAAAAGGTTATGGTGGGGAGAAAATTGTGATTGAAAATCCCTTCCACCTGAAGTCTGTGTGACTGATGTGCAGATTTTTGTGTTAAACAAAAATCTGCACACCAGTCAAGCCATAAGACTTGTTTTTCCCATAGAAATCACAAATTTGCAGTGATGTTACTACCGCAAGGAGTTCTGGGTGGCCCTAACATTAACTATATATATATAGTTGTGGATGGATGAATTGTTTTCACTATTTTACCGTTATTTTCTTATGTACTCTTTTTCCTAGTTGTATTTGCAAAAAAAAATAATAAACACTATTTGAGAAGTTTAGGGTTCAAGTTAGGATTAGAGCCATCAAGACAATCCATTTACTGAAATCCCCTGCCTGTGGGGCCAGTATTTATAATGATAAGGGGCATGTGCCAATGCTAGAACTAAGCTGGATTGTCAGGTAAGGCATCCAGATCCTGTATACTATATTTTGCCTCATTCATAATCTCTAATAAATAGTGGCTCAGGCAGCATTTATGATTACATATAGTACTTTTAACATTAGAATGTTCCTATTGTTTTTTACATTCAGGACACCCCTCAATAGAAAAGCATTGAGGATCCTACTGTGCATGCATGGCAATTGGCAATAGGATTCTTTTCATAGAGATGCATTACGGTATTTCTCTATGGAGAGACTTGACTGTGTTTGACATCATCATGATTACAAAGAAAGAAAACTTTACAAGTTTTTACATGGAAATGTCTCTAAACTCAGTGTGATTAACAGTCACTAGAGGCACACTGATTGACAAACTTAAACACCACTGTTTCTCATAAATGGCAATGGTTATACTTGTCACCATACAAAGAGAGCACCAAGGCACCAAAACCACTATATTAAGCTGCAACAGTATTGGTGCTCAGGGTGCCCCTTTAACTAAAACAAGAAAAAATAAGAGATGGCAATTTAGGGCAAGAAAAGGCAGTTTATGCCCTAAAAATTTGATACCTATAAGTGGTAATTTGCTACATGCTAACAGCATAGAGGACTTTGTGTGGGGCAATACATACACGTTACCTAAATGCACTGCAGCAAATCAGAATGAACGGATATACTGCATCGGTCAGTAATAACCAAAGAGACTGTCGGACACAAAGCAAGTACTCAAAATGGAGCTTTCATTCAAAAAATGTGTGGGTAACAAAGTCATTTGCAAGTATTAAAACTCTATACAATTTTCTTCTTAAGTGAGCGGCAATTCTACAGATTAAGAATAGATGACAAAAGGATGCATGCACACAACCTGGTGCAGTAACAAGGCCTAGTGTGCCGCACTCAGACACTAAGTAAGGAAATGGACATGTACATATCTACTGAGGCGGCCATTTTAACTGCCAGCTCTGCACAAATGGCATAGATGAGAAGCTAAACACTAAACCTAAAATATATTTGAAATTATACATTTACAAAGAGTTTTAAGAAATATAAATGATTATTTATGAAAGATAATAATCACTGGGATTTAAAAATAAACAACAAAAAAAACAACACGATGCAGTTTCTGACCAATCAGAGCACTTTAGAACTCATGACATAGAACTTGGCTCATGCACCTGCCACTTCACTTCAAACCTTTTGAGAGCGATTTTGATTGGTGACAGTTGGCAAACTTCTTATTCGACATTCGTGGATTAAAAACATCAAACTCAAACATGGATGGTAAGAAGGCGAAGAAGAGGACCATTGAAGAGGTAGAGAGCAGAGGAAGAACACAACAAAAAGAAGACAACAAGGACAGTGACATCAGGAAAGAGCTACAGGTGAAGAAAAGGAAGAAAGAAGAACATAAAGATGAAGAAGGAAAACAACGCGCAAGTGAAGAGGAAATTATTGAAGAAATCAGCGACTCTCCAGAAAATCCAGAAGATCCAGGTCCATCTTTGGATTCATCTCTTTCGCTGCAGAGATTTACATTCCACCGACTGCTTGGCAAGGGTGGCTATGGAAAGGTACGCAATTTGTGAAATATCCATTTACACAGCAGATTTGTTATTTTTACAAAAGAAACAGAATGTTTTTGGGGTGATGTTATTGAACACATTATTGATTAATATAATTCTCAATAATTGGTTATAGGATGTAAGAGTACACCCTTGTCAAATCATTTAAAGATTTATATTTGAAAGTTTAAACATGTGATTTGTCTCTGATTGTGGTCACTTAGTTTCATCTATTGCTGGTTTTAACTTGAAAATATATTCTGTTTGCTCACCTGTAACATTGAACTTTATGTCAATTTATTTTAACATCAATGAGAAAATTTACTGAAAAATTAGATACAGAGATGGTTATAAAACCTATTCTGTTGTTTAGATAGGGTTAGGTGAGTAATAACGGCATAACCCTGTGTAACATTACAAATTAGCCTAGCACTGGTATAATTAAGACCAGACCTGCCCCCCATTCTTTCATTTATTGTTATTTTTTTGTTACACGTTTTTATTTTTAGCACATTTTTTTATCCATTATTACTTTGTGCAAATTCTTTAACTATTTTACTAATAAAATTGTATTTAAAATATCTTCTATTTAAGAATGATTTTTTAATTGGTTGTAATCTCAGGGACATCTGCTTCCCCCCACTTTTCAAGTCGGAGGTCCCACCTTCCCATTTTGTATCTAATTTATTTTAAGATTAGTTCTATGGGCAGTGCACAGTATTGAAAATTAAACAATGTTATTATTATTATTATTATTGGCATTTATATAGCGCCAACTAATTCCGCAGCGCTTTACAATATTATGAAAAGGGGGGAAATGTACAATAAATGAGACAATTACACAGTAACACAGGAACAATTGGTAGATGAGGGTTAATTCACTAAACAGTTTGTAATGTGATGAATTATACAAATTAGGATAAAGTAGACCTTCACCCATTTTAACCCAAATAATATTGCCTTCTCAATTCACATAAACATACTCTTTGGTGAATAAATTCCATATTCCATATTTCTTACATGTTCCTCTGTTGGATATTTAATTGTCATTTAGTTAGTAGTACTGGGAATTGATAGTGTTTGTTGTGATTTTTCACTGTAATTATGGCCAGTTTAATCCACTCCAACTGTCACTACAATTGCTAGTTCCTGGTCACATGACCTGATAGGAATGATGGACATTCTCAAAGCTATAGTAGGATAGCGAGAGAGATACATTTCTACTAAATGTCAATGGAAACTGTATCATAGTCTATTGTTATGAAAACTGAATTATTTCTACTTAAGAAAACATATACAATGCTTATGTTTCATGGATTGTATAAATAGAAGTGCGATAGAGGATCTTTTCACATTTTGAAGATTTAATAAAGCTTTATAGAATATACTTCCTTACATACTACAATACACAGGAAGTTACTGTGATAATTATGTAATTGTACAATGGGTCACCCAGTTAATACTGTATCATGTAAATCATTTTGGTCTCTGTTAAGAACCAATGCACTGGATTCTCTTTTTGTTTGTGCTATCGCTTGTGCTGTTATTTGTGCTTTTGCTGTGTATTTTCTAAAGCTGATGTGCGCAACTATAATAAAAATATTCTGTTCAAGTACAGCAATATTCTCTGTGTATGTAAAAAAAAATAACAAAATTATATATATATATACACACTCAAAGTAGTGCACTCACTGGTCTTCTTAATTTGCAAACTTTATTAACCAATGTTCAGTAACTTTACCGTATCATCAACGTTTCGGTCCTCATTCGGACTAGGACTGAAGTGTTGATGATACGGTAAAGTTACTGAACATTGGTGAATAAAGTTTGCAAATTAAGAAGACCAGTGAGTGCACTACTTTGAGTGTATGTATTGTTAAAAGGCTGGAGGAGCACCTTAGCAAGTAAAACGGAAGAGTGAGTGGATTTGTGAGTGGTCTGACATCATATTCAGATTCCCGGCATAACTAAGCAATGCGAGGGAGCTGAGCAGTAAGCCCGCACTAAAAGCTGCCGCCCGCCTCGTGTGGGCCCCCCAGAACACGAGGCTAACAAGGCAGTGCCGCCCAAGGCAAATGCCTTGTTAGCCTTGCAGTGAATACACCGCTGGGCACCCTACCAGTGACCTATGGTAGCATGCCCACAGAGAGGGCTCAGCGTGCCATCTGTGGCATGCATGCCATAGGTTCGCCATCGCTGCTATAAATGATAAGTGGTGCCAATGGTTTAGATATGCCATTAGAATGCTAATCTGATACATAAGCATCAATCAGCCATATCTGGTACAGACTTCAGTAAATAAACAGGACAGGGATTGGATTGTGCACAACTACTCTGTTGTGTTTTTGATCAAGTTAGGTGTAATGAGACCATAGGGCATATTAAAGATAGTTTAAAGGAGAAAGGCTAAAAAACTAAATAATAATGTATTTTACAAGATATGTCTGTGATATAATAACCACACAGTAGGTTTCTTAAAGGGAAACTATAGTGCCAGGAAATCAAAGTTGTTCTCCTGGTACCATAGCTCTCCCCTGCCTCACAGCCCTCACCCCCGTGCGCAGAAGGAGTTAAAGCCCTACTGTCACAATGTCGGTGCTGGTTTGGTTTTGCCTCTGCTCCTCCCCTGCTGACGTCATCCGGCAGGGGAGACCTAATGCGTATGCACGGCAATGGCCATGTTTGCATTAGTATTTCTACCATAGGGGGTTTAACATGACACTTGATGTCCTCATTCATAGCGTGAGGACGCCCAGCGTCAGTTAGGCGACCAAATGTCACCTAATGACCCGGAAGTCCCTCTAGTGACTTGTTTGGTAGAAAATCACTAGAGCTGGAGTTTACCCTCAAAGGTAATTATTGTAGTTTATTAAAGGACCACTATAGTGCCAGGAAAACATACTCGTTTTCCTGGCACTATAGTGCCCTGAGGGTGCCCCCACCCTCAGGGACCCTCTCCCGCCGGGCTCTGGGGAGAAGAAGGGGTTAAACTCTTACCTTTCTCTAGCGCCGGGCGGGGAGCTCTCCTCCTCCTCTCCACCTCCTCTTCGGCTGAATGCGCATTCGCGGCAGGAGCTGCGCGCACATTCAGCCAGTCTCATAGGAAAGCATTCATAATGCTTTCCTATGGACGCTTGCGTCTTGAAACACGCAAGCGTCTCTAGCGGCTGTCAATAAGACAGCCACTAGAGGCTTTAGAGGCTGGAATAACCTATTAAACATAGCAGTTTCAGAGAAAAAATGGGTTAACCCTAGCTTGACCAGGCACTCAAACCACTTCATTAAGCTGAAGTGGTCTGGGTGCCTAGAGTGGTCCTTTAAAGACTGCAATAATAACCTTTGCAGGGTCAAGGAGCCTGGAACTATGCACCCAAATCACTTCAATGAGCTGAACTGGTCAGGGTGCCTATAGTGTCCTTTTAGGTAAATATAGCTTGCTACATTTAAAACATTTGTGTCAGTTTTCCTTTAAATACATCATGCTAATAGATATGTTAGCACACAAGGATTGACACAAAATTCTGAAAGCCTTTTTATTTACGTGTCATCCAGGTCTTCCTGGCATCGGATAAAACAACGAAGAAGGTGGTGGCTTTGAAAATAGTGAGGAAGAAAGACCTTCTCACTGAAGCCTCAGACAGGACACTCGCTGAACGACGAGTGCTGGAGATGGCAGCCGGAAGTCCTTACCTAACCAAAGCCTATGGAGCGTTTCAGATCCCGGTAATTCCTTAATGGTCATAAATCAACTTTCTATTAACAAACCAACCAGCAATATATCTGCAGATGTTTGCTTTAAATTTTCTGTGGCAAATTGTTTTCTAACCAATATATACCAAAGACAAAATTTACTATCCCTATTATAAACTCACCTGCCACGTTAAGGCAAACCTCTTAGGTGAATCCTACACTAAAAATTCACCTTCCTGTCTTGAACTAACAGGTAAAAATCTCTAATGAGACAAAAAAGGGTATTTTTCCAAAGCCTTTTGAGTGATACTAAAAAACCTCCAGTTATTTAAATGTCTACAGGGATTTGGGATAGTGAGCAAGTAACTTTGTAACTTTGTTGCTTTGTTTTTTATTGTATGTATTGGGGCTGATGGGTACCATAGTCATTGCTGCTGCTGCCAGGAGTAGTGGGCGTTTAAGCACAGGGCTTGATTTTGTATAGTTTCTTACCCATACCTAGCTCGTTCAGTATCTCATTGCTATCCAAATATAGAAAGATTAGCAACTCATAATTAGAAAGAGTAATTTTTGCATTATCCTTTAGGCTACATGTGGAATGCTCAAATTTGTACTTATTTTGTGCTTTTTGCATATTTCACATGGCTATTTTTTAAACATTTCTTTCAACGTTTGCAATATTAATTGTGTTTGTGCTATGTATTTTGTTAACTTGATGTGAATGGCAGTTAAAGTACTAGAGAGATGCTCAGTCCCTTAAGCACTAAAAGTGCTGAACTCTCAAGTGCAGAGGGATTGCTAGATTCCTGGCATCAGTGACACTAATAAAAGCGGCAAAGGAATGTTCCATCTCTCAGGAACAAAGAGAATCAGCCCACTCAACCCTAGGAGTTGTTGCAGAGGGTTCTCAGGTCAGTTTCAATGCAGAGGATCATGTTTGTGCTGGCAAGAACAAAACTTATGTTTCAATGCACCAATCTCAACGTGATGCCTAAACGCTATAATTTTGTATTTGCCAACATTTTGAAATCTTGCACTTTGTTTGAAGTTTCGATATTTCAAAACTAAGGGGAAGCAAAAAATTATTGCATATTTGCCTATTCAGGAGTGATCACTGGTATCTCCAAATTTACTGTTAGAAAACATCTAATGTCAGTTTTGGGTTGCATTCTGAATTATCTGTTATTTTTTTTTAAAATATATATTCCAATCTTAATAGATTTTAAGGATTATAAATTATAAGTTTTTTCTCAAAATGGCTTAAGCACAGTGATCAAAGGCACTCCATTACAGTTGGTTCCTTAAACAGAGCATCATTTTTTTCCCCAAAGCTATAGGATTTAGCAAAGTACAGGAAATTATGTTTTAACAAGTTTTCTTTTTGCTGTTTAAGTGTTTGTGTTGTGAAGTATATCCCATTGTATTTTATTGTCAACCAGACCCATCTATGCTACGTGTTGGAGTATCTGCATGGTGGTGATCTTGACAGCTTCCTGAAAAGAAACATCAGACTGGAACCTTGCATTGCAATGTAAGTCTTAAAAGACAATGCTTAAAATGGAGACCGGACGAGGAGAGGGGAAATATGGGTCAGAGCAATGAGAAGATTTAACAGGAAGAAGTATGACAAGGCCTGAGGAAAGAGTCACATTTAAAGAATTGTTTTGGAAAAGAGGGTTGGTAAAGGAACCCTAAAGTTTCAAATAAAATTCTAATAGTTTTAATAATGACCAAATCACCCAACATAAACATTTACAGATTAAAAATATCATTAAAGTTTATGGAACAATGTTAAATAATGTTTTTCTATTAAAAGAACAGAAGTATAATTCTCAATATGGAGTCACTGTATATATTGACGGGAGGATTGGAAAGGAATTAATTTGGGTGGGAGTAAAAGGAGACAGTTACTAATAAAGAATATACAGCTGCCCACCACCACGTTTTCTACTATTAGCATTGTTTGGTAGACACTGGTGAATGCCATAGATAAAGAATTTAGAAAAATTAGGAACCTCAGTGAGTCTGAAACATATATACATACAATAAATATACACTGAATATAAATATTCTACAAAATGCTAACTCAGTATGAATCCATGTTTGCGTGATGATGTAGAAATGTGTGGGCACATACACCTAGTGTTGCTAAGAAACAAGCATACAATGTATAACAAAGAGTGTCGGTGTATAAAAACAACGACATGTAAAAAAGGAGGAAAAGGTAGAAAGAGTGAAGGCATGTTACTGAAGTATCTTAGCTAAAGCATATCTGTACATGAGTCCAAGCAATCATCAAATGTAGAAGCCGAGAATCGACAAATACGAGGAGATGCAGGAGATAGAGAACTGTGGCTGTGTGTGATTGAAGTGTCTAAGGGTAAACAGTGAAATCACCGTGTGTGCTGCATGCAACCAGTGATCAACATATGAAATTAGAGCAAGAATGCCAGTGAGTTCCTACAGTGATAGACAATAGAGAGTGAGAAAGACAAGCTGGTGAAGAAAAAAAACTGTAATTAGAGGCAGATCAAAGATATAGATATACCGAGGAGCTCAAAATAGACAAAAACTACTGCAACTGGTGCTAAATAGATTCATAACATATAATACTGATTTTACACATAGCACTAGGCAACAATATGAACAACAGATAAGCACAAGCCATTTTGCACACAACCGAACATGTAAGAGCTATGGAAATGGATGGAAAATTGCCACAATGAGTAACAGCAAATATAAAGGAAGCTAGTCAATAAAAGGAATAAGAAGATGCCTGCTATGTATGGTATAGATGTCCTAACAAGATATACAATTGTTATACAGAGAAATATGATGGTAGAAACATATTTGAAAATAAAAAGTATTCACCAGTAATACTAGAAAAAGTATATGTGACAGTAAGAAAAGTGAAAACTGTAGGCAGGAGATATATATATATATATATATTATTACAGTGGATTTTCCCTAGGTCAGCTCCTTTAGGAAGATCTCATTTTAAGAAGTAAGTTCATTTTATATTAAATACTTTGTTGATTAATATTTGAATTCTTGTTTATCAGATTCCTTGCTGCGGAGATTGCGTGTGGACTCCAATATCTCCACCAACACGACATTGTGCATCGGTAAACACATCTTCGTTAAACGATATATTAATAAGCTTGCTCTCTCTACACTGTGCTGTCCTTTTTTTACCCATATTGTTTAGCTACATTTTTACCTTTCTCTCAGGTGAGTTAAGATTTTTTGCTCATACACTTCAGCTGTAAGAGGGCATTATACAAACCGTTTCAACTTAACACTAAGAAGAGGCTTTTTACTTACGTTTGAGAAAAAAAATGTACTCGTGTTGGGCAGAGCAGAAAAAAGGAAGGGCAGGATAAGAAAGAAAGAAGCAGAATGGTCATTTCTAGTCCACCTGATTAAGAGAAATGTAGAAAACTGCATTCATTAAAACTAAATTACAAAATCCTTTTTTAAATTGTCTCCTAAATTCAGGTATAAGCAGCCTGTTTAATTTCTTTGTGAATTGATGGGGCATTATTTCATTGATTGGCTATAGCTCATAAATAGATTTGTACACACTTCCAGAATTTACTATTAGTAAGCCATGTAAACGACCTGTTTCATGACAGATCTTCAATAAACTATAAATCTTATGATATTTCTCTCTACAGAGACATAAAGCCAAGGAACATAATGCTGGATGAAGCGGGTCACATCAGGATAGGCGACTTTGGACTGGCGCTGGAGATGCACGGCAAGAGGACAGCAAAGGGTTACGCAGGCACTGTAGATTATATGGCTCCAGAGGTAGGATAGACCATGGCTACTGTTTGGGTTTGAGGCTACATGACTTGATCATATTACATCTCACCAAGAGCAACAATCACTCTGTAGCTAAACAGATCTTTATAGCTATGAAGATGAAGAACTAGAATTCAACATTTTATCAATGTAAACACAATGTCTGAACACTACTTCAGACAACAGGGCGCCACAGCCACTATAAATATATATTACTGAAAATAGGAGATTCCCATAAATGAAAAACAATCGGTGGAAATACAAAGTCCACTTTATTGCATATAAAGAACAATAGTACACAATAGTGCAACAAGCACAATGTATATAAAATAATATAAAAAATAAGTACACAGCCAAATTGGCCAAGAGCCCCTAAGGGTAGCAGCTATAAACATACAAGTAACTACACTGATAGTAAAAGTGCAAAGTGCTAAAGTGCAAGGGTGCAGGGTACTGATAATACTGCTCCACAAACCAAAAACAGCACAGTGCATACAATATAGGATGGAATGCAAATAGAGTACATGTAGAGTGTACAGCAAGCTCCTGAGGAAGTCGACATCGACAAAACGCGTAGAGCATTCACAAGAGCCCTGTATTTTCGGTATAGCAGTCTTTCTCTACATGTACTCTATTTGCATTCCATCCTATATTGTATGCACTGTGCTGTTTTTGGTTTGTGGAGCAGTATTATCAGTACCCTGCACTCTTGCACTTTAGCACTTTGCACTTTTACTATCGGTGTAGTTACTTGTATGTTTATAGCTGCTACCCTTAGGGGCTCTTGGCCAATTTGGCTATGTACTTATTTTTTATATTATTTTATATACATTGTGCTTGTTGCACTATTGTGTACTATTGTTCTTTATATGCAATAAAGTGGACTTTGTATTTCCACCAATTGTTTTACATTTATGGGAATCTCCTATTTTCAGTAATATATATTTATAGTGGCTGTGGCGCCCTGTTGTCTGAAGTAGTGTTCAGACATTGTTTATTTTGTATAGAGGTTGGGAGTGACCTCGTGACAGTGGCTTGCCTACACTAGCTTTGTGACCTATTATCACCTTCACCACCCACACATTTATCTTTTGTTTTGTTTTTTTATCAATGTTCATGTTATTCTCCTCTGTAATAAGGTATCATGGTTGATATTATAATAAGCATGGGTTAACATCTTTATTTATTATGGCTGATGGCAACAGTGCTTGGCTAGGTCCTCCAAACTTTAAAGACAATTCTTTAAAATTGAAAAACACCTTCAGTGATTGTCTATACTGTCCCAACCAGTCATATTGCTCCGAATCATTGCACATTTGTAGTGAAATATATATTTTTTATAAGTTGCCTATTCTAATAGGCAGACGATGAGAACAGCATTATATTTGACAGTAATACTTTCTTTCCTGTAAGGAAACACGTGACTAATCATTTCTAAAAATTATGTTGGCAGATGCGGAAAGGAAGAAAATATAATGCTGCAGTAGATTGGTGGGCCTATGGTCTAATCCTTCATAAGCTGGCCAAGAGAGCATTTCCAAAAAATCCAAATGCTGCCCAAACAATGCTTCATGACACCACAGACCACCCTGAGTGTCAAAGAAAACAGGTCAAAGATCTCGTGAAAAAGGTGTGTATGATCCGGCAGTCTAAATTAATGTCCTGAAAAAGAGAACATTTATTTATAGAAAACTATTAACAAAGAGTGACACGGAATGCCCATAAATGACAATGGTGTCTATATATGGTAATATCGAAAAAAAGATAAAAGATATATTAATTCAGTCAAATGCTTATAGCTCATACCAGCAGTCCATAGCTGGGAAGATTCCTTAAAGTCATATAAGACAGGATAATATTTAAGGAGGGGATTTCAGGGAATGAAATTTATACACAACTAAACAATCAAAAACACAGTGATAAAATGACTAAAACTAGAGAGAATCGGGAACTGATTCTGGGTTAGGTAGTTTCTCCTACTGAGAGCAGGAAAACCTTAAACACTGCATTCAACATATGAAGTCGAGTGGAGATAAAAGCGAGTGTACTAGTAATAATCTTGCACCTTTGATTCTTAGAATGTCCCTTTAACCTTGTGATACTGCATACAGATTTACAGATATCTATATTGTGTTTGCATGTGTTTTAGTCAATGAACAAAGGCAGTGGCAGTTTTATTGTTGACATTCTACTCTTCCATTTGCAGCTCCTGTGCAAAAATCCATCTCAGCGCTTGGGGGCAGCTAGCAGCATCCGATTCCATCCTTTCTTCCAGTCCATTGACTGGGATGAGCTGGAGGCTGGCAGGCTAGATCCCCCCTTTGTGCTAAGAACAGTAAGTATACGGAAACTTCAAATAGAGACCAGAAAAATCAATGTAACAAAATGAGTGACTAGTTTATGAAAAGATAAGAGGGACGATCAAAGTGCTAATATGGTGTGACCGTGGATTACTGATGGTGATTGGGACTATGTATATCGGAGTATTTTGGGGTAATTAGCCCAGAAACACAAACAATATCTAAACTTGGCAGCACTGCAAGCTCTAAAGTGTCCTCTCCAGCCATATCCATACACCTCTGCCCCTGTCCCTCACCAAACAGTTGTGCCTGTCCCTTTGTACCCAACTATCTTAAAAAAACTTTATAGGAAAGCACGGTGTGGAAGTCCTAATGCTGGGGTGGGGCTCACCGTTAATCCACATTAGGTTCCCAGATCACACTGAGGTTGAAGAAAGAGGAGCCCAATCCAGCACCCAGGGACCCTAGCGCTGGAATCAGGTAAGTGGTTAAAAGGGTTTTTAGGCCTTTCATGTCCTGGGTGCAGTGTAAGCATAGGAAGACTGTAGTGTTAGGAAAACAGTTTTGCATTCCTAACACTATAGTGTTCCTTGAAACAATCTAGCCTTTAATTTTCCTTTTGTTCATTGCCACTATGGCTAGAACACTGTGATAATAGGAAAATTACACCAGTTTATACATATAGCTTTTGGCATTCTGCAATCTCCCCCCTCCATCTTTTACATCCATATTGGTGTTCTTATACTGCTTTCTAGGAATGGTAACACTTATTGGATGTGTTGTTGTATAATGTGTAAATACTACAGTAACTTCTTATGTCTTCTCTTTATAGCCACCACTGGAGAGCTTAATATCACGAGTAATACAGGAGACCCTAACATCTCGATACGAAGCATTTACTCCATCTATTCCACCAGAGCAGAAGCAGTTTCTTGGATTTTCTTTTAACACCCTCTCCTAGCCTACTGCAGCATTATAAATTTTCTTCAACATTTCTTTCCCTGTTGACAACGAGGGACCATGAAGAAAAGGTAAATATACGGTGTTACGTTTTCTCCTGGGCTGTGGGTAGAGAGCTCCAAGCTAAAAGGGAGACGCGTTGAATAGTCTTCCTCCCACTGACTGCTAAATTGTCACCGGATGAGCGTAGACCTGCTAAAAAATTGTAAAGTGGGTGTCCAGCATTTCAGTTGTACTCCAGTTTCCTTTCATTGACCTACAAAGCGATAGTGCTGTAACATCAATATCACAGTCAGTGTTTACTTTCTTTTAAACTATGATTTGCGCAGTCAGTGAAGTAACTGGCTTTGTCAGTGAGATTTGGATTTTGTTTGTCTGTACAGGCAGTGATGTAACTGCTCTGTCAGTGCTTTTCTTTTTATTTATATGTTTGTTATTTTAATCTGTACAGGCAGTGATGTAACTGCTCTGTCAGTGTTTCTCTTTTCTTTTAACTATACAGGCAGTGAGGTAACTGCTCTGACAGTATTAGGTTTTATTTTTTTGCACAGGCAGTGAATTAACTGGTTGTGTCATTTTTTTTTTCATTCACAATCAGCAGTGAAGTAAACTGCTGTGAATGAGATTTCATTTAATTGGGTTTTAGCAGCAAATAGTGAAAGTAACTGGCTGCTGTGAAATTTTTATTTAATTTTTCATTTTTTCTTACAAACTGACTG